TGTATAAATCTCAATTTCGAAAAATTGACCCTTATGACTGATTTTGTGGTCCAGGGTCACAAATGTGTTAAAGGTCAGTAATAATGTCAAATGAGAGTCTATAATCCTGTTTGTTAAACCAAACATGACATGAAATGTACTTCTGTGGCCTGATCCAGCCTATTCGAATGTCAAAATGACAAATTACTGTGATTTCATTATTGGATCAAGGGTTCATTTTCTCCTGAAATCATCTCAGCACACGGTTCTCCTTTTCCTTTCAGGTTTTGTGCCCTTTGGTACTCCAGTGGTAGGTCATTGTGAAAAGATATTCAACTTTTCCTTCTTGTCTAGCCCACCAAATGTAAACTTTAAATCACTTCTTGTAATTTACTCCTCCATTATAGGTTGTAGGCCTCCTTTTACCCAATCAGACATTTGCTTCCACCATCTTCTGGCAGGTATGGTATACATGTGTTTTTCTGGTCTTTCCAGATGAAAAGTCAATCTGAGCTCTGTTTACTGTGAACTCACTGTCTCGCTGTCTTTCTCACAGTGGCTGAACCAGAGCCACAATGCCTGTGTCAACTACTGCAACCGTAATGCATCTAAGGTGCGATATATAAGTAATATCATTTTTTTTGACCAGTGCATAAGGCATGGCATATTTTATGTTCACATATATTCTAAAATTATCATTAAAAAGCAATGAAAAAAAGTGCTACAGTGATGTATTTTTATAAGCCAACTCAGACGTTTGCATCACCCTGGTTCCATTGACAAAAACCCAGTAGGCTTTTGGATTAATGCAGAAAATAAGCTCTGTGAACAACAAAAAATTTATGATTTTTACACATTTTGTTTATCATGATAATCTTTACAGATGAACTATTTTATGAATACAATCATCAGAATTAAAAAACTAAACAAAGGTTATAAAAGAACTATTTCAGCATCGCCATCAGCATCAAGTGTATTCATTTTAATGCATGCATAATGCCGTATAAAGATTGTATAATATGTTGTATCATCTCGTGAATTATCGTTACAACAGTTGTAATACATTATAATACTTACCTATTTATGGTTATAACTTTTTAAGAGTGTGATTATGTATAACATGCAATGAGCACCATGTTTTATGCGCTTAAATTATAATGGATTATAATTCTCATAATTTTAAGTCTTGCAACTTGACTTTGCTTCTTTAAGATCTTGCTACATCTTGTGAGGATTGGTTGTTCATATTGGAGTGTTTTTCTGTGAGGCTAATGTTTCAGTGTGAGCTAGTTTACACTCATCGGTAACCATTTTACAATGAAATATGGTTTTCTTGAAATTACAATACAAATGTTCAAAGTAGATGTATCACATTACCCATTCATGATAACTTATATCTTACAGTGACCATTTATAAATATTATGAGCATATTGTACAGCATTTTGGATATTTACAAAGAAGACTTATTTGTCTTTTTATAATAAAAGACCACTTATAAGATACTGTGCAGATCTTAAATGTCAAGATGTGAGACATATAATGCATTATAACTATGGGAAATATCATCTATTGTAACTTTAGAGGATATAATGTGATATAATAAATTATAATATTCTAAGAAGTTAAAACAAAAATATACGTTCTATATAAATTTTGCGATTCATGATACATGTTGTTTTTGTAACACTGTGTTAGTAAACTTTAAATAACAATGAACAATACTTGTTCCAAATAAGACCTTATTGTAAAGTGTTGCCCTTCTTTTATAAGATACTATGCGTGCATAATAATGAGTAAGAATGTGCTTAGAAAGCATTATATATACAAGCTCCAATGGAAGTGTTACCAAAAATGCCATATTCATTCATTTTATTTGATTAATGTATGCTTTTTTATGTTTTCAGCCCACGCCAGTGTCAACGTTTTTCCAGGGTTACCTCGGTGCAGTCAGCAGTGCAGTTACTATTGCAGTGAGTTCACATGCATGCACAAAACTGTATTATGTCATTTGATGTGTAGAAAGAATTCTCTTTTAATCCTTAAATTTTAAATTGCCATTTCACGCTAACAGAAAAAATGTTTATTCATGACTTTTCTAGTATTACGTGACTTAAATTTTAACAAGCGAACTGATGGAGGCTGATAGCATCACATAGGCACACAGAGCCCTTTGCCTTATTTCACATTGCTGAATTGCATATCCTTCTAGTCACGCCCCCAGTGTCCTCTAGAGCCAATTAGCTGCCCTGCTGGGCGGCAGTTTGATGCCCAGGGGCATGACAAGCAGAACCATGGTGACGACAACTACAAATGGCCCCATGCCTGTGAGAAATATGGGAGGGGGGCACTAATTAAAACTACAATCCCTCTGAAGACCCCTGCTGGGAAGGGAAGGGATGTGAATGGGTTTGATTCTCACATGTTTGTTAGACGAGCCTTTAACTGGAGCTCATAGAGATGACCAGAGACCCACAAGGCAAGATGAGAAACAACTTAGCATAGCCTGTCATGACCTTACGTGCTTTTAAGGTCACTATGAAAACAAATGTGTATTGTCTCCATAACATTTTTGACTTCATGGGTTATATTTATTATATTAGATCAATTATATTAGAACTGTCATGCTCTATGATTATGTGAGATGTCACTTTCTAAATAAAGGACAGATAGGTGTAATATAAAGCCATAGCTGTGGCACAGCGGGTAATGCGAGTGCTCTACACGTGTAAATCTGCTGCGCTCATGGGCACACAGTTCAAATTTCCTCCCTCTCTTCACCTATTTTCCTGTCTGGGCTACATAGTCTTATAAATTAAAGGAAAAAATTATGAAAAAAAGAATTCAATTTTAAAAATGAAGTATTATAATAAAACATATGTACACACACACACTACTGTTCAAAAGTCTGAAGTCAGTGAAACGTTTCTTATGCTCACCAATGCTGCATTTATTTGATGAAAATGCAGGAAAACAGTAATAGCGTGAAATATTACAATTTAAAATAACTAATATCTATTTCAATATATTTTAAAATGTCATTTATATAGCTGAATTTTCAGTAGCCATTACTCCAGTCTTTATTATGAATTATGCGAAAATGAAAAATCCTGGTCCAGAGGTTCATCCCGTTCCCTGCTGTTGGTATGTGCATGTGTGTGAGAGCATGTTTATGTATGTGTTGATTTTCTGGCATAATCTGCCCTGTTGTGTCTATGACAGAAATCAAGCATCCTGTCATGCGGTCTTGCTAAATTGCTGATTATTAAAGCATAAAACGACTGAGTAATGCACGATATTAATTAATGCCTACAGTTTTCAGTCAGCTCTTTTGCTGTCTGAAAGCTCACGTCTTTGCATTTGTAATGACACTCAATTTCTAAATGAGCATTTGTTCAGACTTTCATTAGACTCATTTCTTATTTCATTTGTTTATTGTTGTGTATTAGCGCGTTGTGTTTTGACTGATCCTGTTGTCAGAGGGAGCTGCTGCTGAAATGTAATCTCAGTGTTCCATTAGCGTTCTGAGGCTCAAACAGGTCCAGAGGGGCTGAGGGAGACTGTCCCACAATGCCTTGGGGATGCTTGGCTGTAATTAAATTGTTTTCGTCCCCCACCCCACCCCTTTAATTAAATCAGGAGGTTCCCCCTCACCTCTCTGGGCAGGGGTAACCGGGACCTTGTTAGCTCTAATTGGTTAATTAGGCCTAAAGTGCTCTCTGTGTTAGCACTGAGTTCCCTGTCTCCAGGCCACCATGTTGTTGTTGTTGTTGTTTTTTTAGTGTTTAGTTATGAAAGGCAATTAAATGCAGCTAATGGAACGCAGTGGAGACAAAGTGTTTGAAATTTGCCTTTGATTTTATTTTGCATTATTAGCATTTATATACATTTTAAGTCAAATGCAAATTAATATTTTTTTGTTAACTTCAAAATGACATCTCGAATTTAGCACCTTTATAAGGGGATTTTCATAATGGTTTTTGCCTCTATGGGTGACCTAAAGCAGGACCTCCTTAATATAAAATTTAGTATGCATTTGTTTGTTTCTTCAAGATACAATCATTTTTATGTTCAAACAATGTATTATATATATTTATATATGTGTGTGTGTGTGTGTGTGTGTGTGTGTGTGTGTGTGAATGATCATAATCTGCCTGCAAATGCATATACTGTTACAAGTCCTACTATTACTAAACAGATGCTAAGTAAAATATTGAATATTAAACTCACCTGGATGGTTTTATAAAATGTGAGTAATGTGCAGCAAAATAAGACTTGTATTCATATTTTTATTTGAAATGGACATTTCTAACGTCTTCCCCAGTGATTCAACTTACACTTGGCATGACACATCATGCTACTAACTTTTTAGTAGGCTTTCTTCTAATTTCAGTTGATAATCCGGTTGCACTTTATTTTACAGTATGTGTACTTATGTGTACTTACAGTGTACTTACCTAAGAAAGTACTGTATAATATAAGGTAACTACATGGGTTAGGGGTAGGTTCAGGGTTAGTACCTAGTTATTACCCAGTTATTGTAATTACTATAACAAATACATAGTATGTATATGCGGAACAGGACTGTAAAATAAAGTGCTACTGATAATCCTGTACATTCTGTATATTTTACATATTTCTGGCCTATAGTTGACAGTTTAGATATAAAATAGCACCGACCCGTGTATACCCCATTATTCTCCCCTACTCTTTTAAGTTCAAATGCATTGAGCACATTAACTGCTTCTTACATTTCTTGTGTTTTCTTGTTTGAAAACGTGTCAGAGATAGTGACAATAGTCCAAACAGAGTCTAATTAACACGGTTCTCTCACTGAATCTAAATAGTTAGACATCAGATGGAATTGTGTTTGTGATCAAGTCCTGTTTTCTAACCGCAGCTCTCCCTTCATTTAGCAAGTGCCAACGTGTGTAATGTTTTGCTGATGCGCCACACTGAGCTGTCAGAGGGCATCTGCGTACTGGACGACAAAGGCAATGTGGTGGGCACCTCAAAGCTGGCTGCCAGGCATGTGAGTATGGATCCTTTTGCACGTGTGAGGTGAAAGGTTACTGGCAGCTTTTGTGCAGGCCTATTGTGAGTTCTGGTCTGATAAATGTCTTTTTGTTCAGGCTCTGATAGAGACATCCCTGACTCGTGTCGTGCTGCCCATGCCTGTTCTCCTGCTGCCGCCTTTAATAATGGCCATGCTGGAGAGGTCAGAGGAGTTCTTGTGAATTTGACATTTCAGACTTTAGTTATTTTTACAGCACCATCGCACAGTTTACCTCAGAAATCACACACCAATGTGCACCATATGTCCTGGTATATTTGTATTTCACAGTTTGATGTGATCACAACTTTTTATGTATCATTAATATAACCTTAAAATGTACCAAATTCTCACAATTTTTTATTTCTACATAGACAAGGAGATGTTTGGCTGTTAAGTTCAAAATATGACAGTGGTATATAGTGGTCCATACAATATGCTATATTCAGTGTTTTCTGCACTTCTGCAATTTTAATATGCTTAGAATTAAATGGTGGCACACCATGATTGGTTATGAGATCTATCAGTGAATCATAGCTTAAATGTCAGCCTTTTCCTTACAGAAATCATATGACTACAAAATACTTAAAATAAAGTGCACAAATCGCATGGACTAATGACAACCTTTTACTAAATGTGCCACAATTTAAAGGGACCAGAAAGATTTTTTTTCTTTGAAAGAAATTAATACTTTTATTCAGCAAGGAAGCATTAAATTGATCAAAAGTGACAGTAAAGATATTTGACATTTCTGAAGGATCATGTGACACTGAATGGCTGCTGTAAATTCAGCTATGCAATCACAGGAATAAATGTAATTTTAAAATATAGAAAACCGTTATTTTAAATCTAGTATTTCAAAATATTACTGATTTACTGTATCAAATAAATGCAGCCTTGGTGAGAGACGTCTTTCAAAAACACTAACTAATCTTACTGACCCCAAAATGTTTAAATGGTCTACTTTTTTTGGTTCACTGAGGAAAAGAAAGATACAAATTTAATATGATGACAAAATTGTTGTTTCTGAACTATTCCTGTAATGTCTGTCTAGCCAGACAGGAGATGTCATGTCTACAGTGTATATGTGGCATTGGAGACCAAAAGTCCACCTTCAAAATCAGATTTTCTTGAATTTAAACTTTAGTTTAGAAAGAAGTTTTAGGATAAAGTTTTTAACTCCTTTTATATCAAATTCAAAAATGCAAAATGCACATTTCTGTTGAAGAGTGGGATCGACTCTTCACCAGAATTCGATGGGTTTTATGACTCCTAGACTATGTCGCAACCTCCTCAAATTCTTCCTGCTCTTGATTCGCAGGTGTGTGTGGCTATGTGTGTGTGTGTCTTTGTGTGAGAGGCAGTAAATGGTGAGCTGTCCTCTGCTATGCTGCCTGTCAGCTCACCCTCACTGGCTCTCAATGGAGCAGGAACAGGGCTGCAGGAGGGTCACTGCTTTTAGGGTGGGGCTGAGGGCCAGGGCTATCCTTGATTAATTAGAGCACTGAGAGGAGTCTGTGTGATATATGTGTGGTGCTTAAACCTTTCACCTGTCTCTCTAGCTGTGTCCGAAAACGAAGACAGCTGCTTTGCTGAACAGTCAGTGACGCCGTTTTTGCATTAAAGTATGAAAATGGTTTCAGACTATCGTGCAAGATGCAACAGTGTCACATGAAATGATCTAGAGGAAATTTAAATGAGCTTTAGATATAACCAAGCAAATATAACTATGATGCTTATTTGCTGATTGAAATTTTACAAATAAAAAAAAGGACGTTTATGAATTTAATTACTTCTTTCAAATGTTATTGTTATAAGGATTGTTACAGGAACTGGCAATATGTTATGTAGTGATTTGTACTGTCAAGATTTTTAAAATGCATTTTTTTTGTAATATAAAACATTAGTAACACTTTGCTTGAAACCTTTATATACAGTGCATTTTAAAGGTGTTTTAATGCATAAATTATGCCTTCTAATGCACCTTATTATGTATAGTATGATTCATGAATAATTGTTCATATAATGATACGTTACGATACGTTACGTTACGATACGTTATACTTATCTATTCATTGTTGCATCTTTAATGCTTTAAAATACATGACAAACAACCAATTTCAGATGTAACAAGGAATCTACAAATATTATGAGTTTTAGCTTTGATTACAATTATTTTTGAAAATATGTATAATGCATTACATAATGAATGCCTTTATAATGCATTATACATAAATGCTTTAAGTAAAGTGTTACCAAAAAATTACATTTAGACTACCTTTGCCATCTAACACCCACTTAAAGTTAATAAAAAAAAAAGAATAATTTAATAACACTTTTAAATGTAATCTTTAACAAACTAAATGTAAATGGATTTTATATTTTTTTTATAGAATTGTAATATCTGCTTTTTCATTGGTTATTGGTCATAACATGAAAATAAATATTGTGCATCCATAATATCATAGGATACGTTTCGTTTAAAGGCAGCAACTGTTGTTTACTACATGTCACTTCAGTTCAGCTTTGGCCTCTTCACGGGAGAGTGACGGATGAGTGTGTTGATTTAGTTAGAGCAGTTGACGGACACGATAAAAGGTCTTTAACATACTTTGATCCTTTCCCCTGTTCCGTTCCTCTCCCAAACATACACATATACACAGAGAGAGAGAGAGAGAGTTTCTGGTGGCCAATTAAAGCTCATCATGCGTATGTGTTGATGAAGTCATCATTAGGCAGTCGCTGCCTTCATTAAAGCAGGACTACTCTGGAGGACTCCTGCAGAGCACGCTATCCCACAACCCCCCACACGCACTGCGGCCAGGGAGGGAGGGGGAGGTGTCAGGGAGCAATCACGCACAGCAGTTCTTCGAAAGTGTCAGCGAGCGCCTCTGATAACAAAAATGGCGGGAATGCTCACGGCCTTGCCAATAACGTATGCATTTTTGTGGGTGTTTGTACGTTAGGCTCCCTCTGCTGCAGAAGTGCCCTCGTCTCGGGCTGCCTGTTCACAGCATGGTGTGTCTCTGCGCGTTCGGCCTAGCGCTGCCTGTTGCCATCAGCCTGTTCCCCCAAAACAGTCAGGTGAGCACTCTCACACGCCTCCCTCCATCCGCTCGCACTTTCACTCTGTCCCCTTCTCTTTGTCTGCCGTGAAGACGGTTATGGTTTAAAATGGTGTTTATTAAGCTGTTCATCCATGAATTACAATATGAATACCTTTAAAATGCATTATACATACAGGCTTCAAGTAAAGTGTTACCAAAAATTATTTGATTAAATCCATTTTTACATTTAGATTACCTTTGCCATCTAATGCCCACATAAGGTTAATCTTCATAAACACTAATAATTTAATAACACTCTTAAATGTAATCTTTAGCAAATCTCAAGATGAATATCTTTTTTGTTTGTAAGCTAAATGTATTTGTAGCATTTTAAATGGATTTTAGTTTTTAGTGTTTATTTAATTTTTTAATAGAATTGTAATATCTGGCATTTACTGGTTATTGGTCGTAACATGAAAATAAATATTGTGCATCCCTATAATATGATACGTTTCATTTAAAGGCAGCACTGTTGTTTACTATATATGTCACTTCAGTTCAGCTTTGACCTCTTCACGGGAGAGTGACGGATGAGTGTGGTGATTTATTTAGAGCAGTTGATGGACACGATAAAAGCTCTTTAACATACTTTGATCCTTTCCCCCGTTCCGTTTCTCTCCCAAACATACAGAGAGATAGATAGAGAGAGAGAGAGAGAGAGAGAGAGAGAGAGAGTTTCTGGTGGCCAATTAAAGCTCATCATGCGTATGTGTTGATGAAGTCATCATTAGGCAGTCGCTGCCTTCATTAAAGCAGGACTACTCTGGAGGACTCCTGCAGAGCACGCTATCCCACAACCCCCCACACGCACTGCGGCCAGGGAGGGAGGGGGAGGTGTCAGGGAGCAATCACGCACAGCAGTTCTTCGAAAGTGTCAGCGAGCGCCTCTGATAACAAAAATGGCGGGAATGCTCACGGCCTTGCCAATAACGTATGCATTTTTGTGGGTGTTTGTACGTTAGGCTCCCTCTGCTGCAGAAGTGCCCTCGTCTCGGGCTGCCTGTTCACAGCATGGTGTGTCTCTGCGCGTTCGGCCTAGCGCTGCCTGTTGCCATCAGCCTGTTCCCCCAAAACAGTCAGGTGAGCACTCTCACACGCCTCCCTCCATCCGCTCGCACTTTCACTCTGTCCCCTTCTCTTTGTCTGCCGTGAAGACGGTTATGGTTTAAAATGGTGTTTATTAAGCTGTTCATCCATATGGTTACTGAACTGCAGACATATGTGCTGCCAACTACTTCTATTCCTCTCCCACCCCTCCCCTCCTCCTCTCCTCTCACTCTCTCGCTCCCTCTTTACACTTTTCCGAGGGTTCCAGACGAACGCTCCCAAAAAACTCCACTCCTGTCCCCCCCACCTTTTCACACCCCACAGGATGTCTGTTTCAGATTCTGCCTCACACACTCACACACTCATCGCCATCTGTTTCTGAGCAAAATATTGCAAGTTTTGGCCCTGGTTTGGATATTTACCAGTGCTCGCTGTTTCATTTGAGCTTTTTATGATGGCTGAAGTGTCAGTTTTGACTGTGAAAAATGCTCGAGGCTGGAAAGACATGGCACACTTTGAATTCTCATTTGGTGAAACATTTTAAACATCTTAATGACTTAATGATTGCTGTGAATGGTTACCTCACTGTAGCCAAAAGATCTGAATCTTAATGTCAGTATAAAAATAACACTCCGTAATCAAAGCAGAGGAATCATATATGAGAAAATTGTATATTACAATCTTTTCCTGGCACTTCTGTTACCACTAAAGCTAAATTAAATGAACCTAATAGTTAGAGGTTAATGAAGCTATAAATGCTGTCCACGTATATGGTTGTTTGCATGTACTTGTCATATTTTGACCACACCTGTTTCCTGTCTCTCAGATCCACGTGTCAGAGCTCGAGCCAGAGATCGCTGCTGCAACAGAGTGCAAGATCCTGACCTACAACAAGGGTCTTTAACCAGTCAGAATGCTTGACACCCAGCAACTAATGTCGCTGTCCCTCACGGTAAAACTCTAATGTGAACAGAAAAATGCAAAGCGTCATTACAAATTTTGATTGCATCTCACTGGATTGCTCCTGCTGTGTGTGAATGTGAATCCTCTCTCAGTCAGAGACAGACTCACACCGGCACTAATCGTCCTCTTGCCATGCACTTGAACGTGGAAGTTGCAAATAGAGGATTTCAGGATATTTACAGCAGTGAAAACAAGTATTCTTTTGAATGTCCCTGTGATGTACTTTAAATTTACATAATTACCAGCCTTCCCATTCAAGCAGTTCTGTATTATCTGACTACAAAAGACTGAAAAATAAATGTAATTGTCTTAAAACAATGAATAAACAATCAGTTTTGATATTTTAAACAGTTGTAATTGATTTTTTTTTTACACATAATTAAATCACCTTTGTGTTATTTTCTTAAAAGGGCTTTACAAACCCCAAATCATGCTCAAATTAAATTGTAATTTAAAAAAAAAATATGTGGAATGAGGGAAAAGATGTATAACTTATATATTCTATATGTTATAAGTTATAATCTATATTACTTAATAAATCTTATTTGTTACATTTTTGTAGAACTGTCATTATCATTATACATATTTTATTATGTATTATTACGTCCAAATCTTATTAAATCTTAAAAAAAAAAAAATATATATATATATATATATAGAACATACACTGTTGTTGCAGAAACATTATTCATTATAAGTCAGTATTAACTAAAATTGATCAGACTCGCTCAGTTTTATCCACAATGATTTTTTTCACTTTTTGACATTGGTTTTCTTTTTTATTTGCACACTGCAAAAAGCGCACACTCAAATATACGATAAAATCAAATGCTTTTCTCTTTTGCTTTGTTCAAGAAAATACACAGAAATCCCTTAAAACATTATTATCATGGTTAATGAACAGAAACAATGTACACATTTGTGCAATTCCTGCTTTCTTCTTTTTCCATCCATTTGTTCTGTTGTTTATAGATGATTTTATCTCTGATTTTATTTGGATGTGTTTGAGTTCCTTTGGCAGGACTGTAAAATGATTCCTGTAAGCTTCTATTTTATCGTTAGATCCGTCGCTAGAATGAGGGAGTGGATCTGTGTGTTTTTCTACCTGGTTGTCACGGGAACAGATCACAGTGGGCAGTAGTGAGGGGAGACATGACATGAAGCCGCATGTAGAATCATTAACCGTGCAGGACTGCCATACACTGTTGCACAACATGCACATGACCGCATTAATGAGGGTAACATTACTGCTTATACCTTCCTTATTGTCAGCTTTTTTTTAAATTTCGAAATCAAGGAAAAATTTGTTTTTAAGTCTTTAATTTATATGAAAACAAAGGTTTGCAACAAAAAATGGCTGATGACTTAATATAATAGTACCCTAACCCAGAAGTCATTGAGGTTCCTTTCAAAACAAGCAGCCAAGTATGTTCCACTAGAGTGCCACTCTACATCAACAAGCTTCTGTTTACCTACCATAGGTTCTCCATTACACCATTACATGCATAAAGCAGTTCACACTGCAAAATAAATTGCTGTAAGATGTGGTTGTTTATCATAACAAATTTGGTAGCAGCAAGTTTTATTGATTGAACTTAAATCTACAGGAAAAATTTATATTTATTTCACTGAAATAATGTTTATGTACCAAGTTAATCAAATCTGTTTGCAATAAACTGACAAACATATTAAAAACAGAGGCGATTTTTAGCCACTTAATGAATCAATGAAGTTCATCACAAGTGGCTTTTCCATAAGCTGAGTTAAATACTAATATATAGAAAGATGCACACCATTATGGTAACCCATGCACAACACTAAAATAACACAATAAATATTAATTTAACAACATAAGATGTAAAATAAAACCCTAATGTACATAACTGATATGAAAACTCTAATAAACGGTTGGTTCATTGTTCAACAAACATTTCATTTCAATGAAAACCTTGTGTAAACCGAGAATTCTGGGAATGCCAATTTCTGTCAGGACCACTATCGTCAAAGATGATTGACAATTAGCATACAGTTTGGATTGGCGGTATGGTTCTGTTCTGTGCAAGAACTCCCTGCGCCTCCATGCAGCCTAGCATGGATGAGAGCAGGGAGAGCAGCAATAACCCCCCGGGGTAAACCGAACTGAACCAACAAATGTATTGCAGATATTGTTAAAGTTCAATCATTTTATGTACACATTTTAGAATTAGTCTGATTCAAGGAGAATCAGAAGGCTGAATCCCGACTGACAGAGGAGGAGTTGGGGATGGAGAAGGGTAATTAGCTATTGAGCAATGTGAAAACCGCTGATAATACTGAGGGACCTTAAATATGAATGCTTAGATAAGTGTCGTATTCCCATAGGTAGATGGGGATCAGCTGAAGGTCAGCTGATGCGAGCTTGACTAACGTGACCTGCCAGAACTAACGCTACGCTTGATTTATGTTTTTTTCCCACTAAATTATAAGATGATTTGTTCTTTTTTACTTTTGTTCTCTTTTACGTATTTCACTTTAAAATGAAATGAAATCTCTCATTAGATCATATATAGCAAAGTTACTTACCATTAACCATTTAACAGGTTTTTATTGTTGCATTTTTAGTCTTTTACCGTTAAAATGACAATCATTTTCGCTAAGACTGTGCAGCTAGTTTGTACAGTCTTACAAAATGAAATGTGCATTCACACAGTTCTTAGTCTTTCACGTGCATTAACAAGCACCCATCTATTTCTCAGTCTCTTTCCTTTCTCAAAGAGGAAAGAGTGCTTTTAGGGAATGCATGGAATGTGTGATGTAAAGCTGCAGAGGATGTGATGTGTGCACCTGCGCACAGGATTGGATATCTGATGGCCTCAAAACAAACTCACCAAAACAATCTTTTTCTCCCTCAGTCTCAATAGACTCTTGTCGTACTTGACAGTGATACTCGGGTGTCATCAGTCTGTGCGTTTCACTCTCACAACCCTTGCTCACACTGCAGGCTCAGGGTCAAATGTTGAGGTGAAAGGTCACCTGCGGGTTCATTTAACACAATCTTCCTCGGTTTCTTTCGACAGGAAGTTAGCACGGTGAGATGAGAGGAAAATTGCCGGCAGGCGTTATCCCTTTGTCTGAGTGTGTGTGTGTGTGTGTGTGTGTGTGTGTGTGTGTGTGTGAAAACATTTTAAAAGGCTAAACTGTTTTTTGTATGATTAAAAAAAGGCCATTTACAATCAGTTTTTGTGATATTTTTGCATGGGGGACAATAAGGTGTGAGCTGCTAATAAGGTTTGTCTCTGAAACATCTTTATTAATTTTGGACATTTTTGATCATGTTTTGCTTGAAAATTAGCTGAATGAACACTATAAAGAAGCTAATGTGTAAATTGGCAAACATTCGCTTTAGTTTATGAGTGTTACAGAGAAACCTGCATACATCAGCCTGTATTTACCAGTAGGCCTACTGAATGACATCACGCAAATCACTCACACAAACACACACTCATCCCGTTACACTCGAACACTCTAACACCATTTCCTACATTCCTTTAGATACAGAGACCATTATTTACACAGACACATACACCCTTGCCTCTATGCTGTGGGTACAGGATGGCTCATGTTAAAACTGGCTGGTAACCTGATTCCTCACATCACTTAACTTATTTCAATCTAGTTGCTATAATTACCTAAATCTGCCACCAGTTTCATCAGCATGTCTTCAAGCATTTGGAACTTCGTATTCTTTTGATAAATGAAGGCAACATCATGTTGAAATGAATAAAAATGTCCATTTTAGTAGCCGACTATACAAAGAAACAACAAAATAATCAGAATTAAGAATATTGACTTGTGACAATTAACTTCATTGTTAGTTTTAAATACAATTTCTTCCAAAAAAAAAAAAAAGAACAAGAGAAAGACATAATATGATTTCTTCTTACAGGTGATGCATGTCTGAAACATAGGATAATTCCAGCAGAGGTATGTTAAACAACTATAATGTTCAGTCCTGGGTGTAGACCTGTTTAATTCATCCTTAACTCACAATGTGGTTAGGTTCTCTGCAGTTAGGATATCATGACTAATAACATTAAATAAATAGTGCTTTTCTTGGTCTTGTGTGTTCATTTGGGCAGTGTTTAGGTTGGTCTTAGGCGTCAGACATGACATCTATGTCCTCAGATCCGGTCTGTTTGGTGGCAATCCTCCAGCGGTTAATGTGTTGGTTTCCCTTCTTCTTCTGTGTGCACTCTGGGCCCTCTTCTTCCAGCTTCTGCCGCTTATACTTGGTCCTGCGGTTCTGGAACCACACTTTCACCTGAGGGGAGCAGAAGACCAGGACACCAGTGCCATTAAGGTTTTGGTGAGTAGGCTATACGGTTGACAAGTTTAGCCTGTCACTACTAGTGATAAACCGAGACAGATCGTGATTGAAGCCTAGCAACACAGTTCAAACGCATTTGTGTTCTAATCGAATCGTTTCAACGCCACAGATGACACGCGGTCCATACAAGACGTTCGATTGATTCTGTTGCTTTTTTTTTTCTTCTCCATTTTTAATTTGTTTCAGAACTTTGTTGCATATGAAATCCAAACAAACACGAATAAGTTATATATTTTAAATGGATTTAAACACATTTACTAAAAGATCTTGCAAAGATGAAGTAGCCATTTAATGTTTCTCATTGTTTCTCCTTCTAATGAAAAGTTTTCTAGCCTAACTGTACATTTCACACATTTCAAGAAAGCAATATATGCTTACCGCCATAAATAGTCGCATTTAGGGAAACATACGGGTAGCCAAAAACAACCCCGCAGAAGGTGAAGAAAAAAACGATGATTTACCTTTACTTTTTTTTTTTTTTTTTTTTTTAGGGGTTTTCTCGG